CTCTCTCTCTCTCTCTCTCTCTCTCTCTCTCTCTCTCTCTGTGTGTGTGTGTGTGTGTGTGTGTGTGTCTGTGTGCGTGTGTGTGTGCGCGTTACCTTAACTACCCAATCGATCAACCTGTTAAAATGTATCTACACAGCCTAACTTATCCCCCAAAAAAAACTGTCAGCTTAGAGCTCACCGATCTATATGTATTTTTAACTCTCAGTACATCTACCATGTATATATTCGCCTTTCCGAGTAGGGATCAAGACATCAATGTATACCCCCCCCCCCGATCTGCCGATCTATCCTTTACCCAATCCAATATCTGTTTCTCTACCTAACTATTTAGCTCGGTTGCTAAATAACTCGCTAGTGGCTTTACCCATCCGTCTATCTATTTATCTATCTATTTATCTATCGGTCGATCGATCGATCGATCTATCTATCTATCAATCAATCCAATCAATCAATCCAATCAATCAATCCAATCAATCGATCCAATCAATCAATCCAATCAATCAATCCAATCAACCAATCAAGCGCGGCGCGTACACGGGTTCGTGTGCGCTGCTCAATCACCCACTCACGCCCACCTAGGAGAGTAGGAGAGTAGGAGAGTAGGAGAGTGGACACTCCCCGGCGACTCTAATCGGTCAACAACACCCGATAACCTCAGATCCAGTGCTAACTGCTACAAGGAAGAAGATGGAGACAAGAAGAGGAAAGGAGAAGAAGAGAATCTGATACAGCACAAGGAAAGAAGAAGAAGAAGAAGAAGAAGAAGAAGAAGAAGAAGAAAAGATAGTAATCAAAAGCGGGGCCAACGCGTTTCGGCCTGGCGCGCAACTGGTGCTTCCTCCTCAGGGGCTTCCTCCCTCAAATCAGACTTGCGACACCGAGAAGACGGAAGTGGTTGGAGTATTTGCGCGCGAACGCCCAGGCGAACGGACGGAGCAAAGGGAAAGAAAGGCCGATCAACGATCGCCTAACCAAACAAACAAACTACCGGTAGGTGCCAAATGCACTCTATCTAATATCGACACTGCAGCCCTCCACTTGATCCTATAGCCAAAAGGCCGACAAAGGTATTATCCCTCCTCCAAGCCTTCTTTCTACACTACAGTACAAACGAAGCAAACTCTATTTTCTCAAGCAAATACAATTCAAACGAATCAAATAAACCCGATTGATACACGCAGGTACACGATTCACACTCTAATTTTTTGCAAGAACAAGCAAAAGAAGAAAACAAAGCAGCAGCAGCAGCAGCAGCAGAAGAAGAAGAAGAAGAAGAAGAAGAAGCAGAAGAAGAAGAAGAAGAAGAACAAGAAGAAGAAGAAGAGATGTCACAACTACTTGTGATGATAACTACCGTACCACTCGCTTTGGCGCGGTGCATACGAGAAAGATCCGACGAGGGATAACAAGGAGCGCGGAAGATATCCTGTCCTGTTTGGTGAAAGAGCAGGGCTTTTTTTGTCCATTTAAAATGTAATAGGTGCATACGAGAAAGAATGATCCAACGAGCCAACGACCTCAACTCGAAATGAGTGTCAGAACCCCAATTGGAGAATGAACTTCCAAATCAGCACAGAGAGATCCAAATCCAAAACACACTTCCACTCAACACAGAGATAGCCTAATACACGGCACTACAACACCACTTTTCAACGCTGTGAATCATGTTTCTAAATGTATGTCCAATCTTTGCACTCATCATGTTGATGATCCCTTTTCCCATTTCCATCAGCGCCCCGCGTTTTGACTAACCTCGGATTCACCACGCGATGGCTGCGCTCCATCCCCCGCTTCAAGCGCTGAGACAATAATAGTATGACATTAAACTAATCAAATAAAACGGCCAGCCTATACGGCCACCATAGCCAAAATTACCTAGGCGACATGCCGATCTCCACGCCCGCTCAGTTCAACCGCACTTCCGCTTCTCTCCTTTCGACGCGTCAGTCCCTCCGCTCTCACTGCCATTCGGCGGCCGGCCCCAAGGCCTCCATTCCTTTTGCTCCCGAGTTCCGCCACTACCTTTACCGGCTTACTGTTTTTTTTGTCCTTTTCCCTTTCAAAAACCGCGTCAGACTGCTTTTTTTTTGGTTTTTTGTTTTTTGGGTGGGGCGCGCGCTGGGAAAGACTGCGTTGTTTTTTTTCCGCTTTGCGGCATTTGGGGACAAGAATTGTCTTTTTGACCTTTGCGGCATTTGGGGACAAGAATTGTCTTTTTTTCCGCAGCCAAGTTTGATGGGACCGGTAGCCCAGTTGGTTAGAGCACTGCATTTGCAAAGGAGAGGTTGTGGGTTCGACCCTATCATCCCTCGTACTCTCCTGCACATGCGGACATAGGGTTAGTTTGACACCTTGTCGTCAGCCTACAGCAGTACACATAAGCTGATTGTAACCGCCTAGGGCGCAGCCAGGGCAGAGGGGTTGTAGAGGGGACAAAGTTTTGAGTTCCAAGGACAACGATAGCGGACCAGGAGGCTGAAATGGCGGAGGGATAAGTCCTCTCAGAAAGCAGGCGAGATGCTGGACCTGTCCTTCGGGACATCCGTTAAAATTGGAACGATACAGAGAAGATTAGCATGGCCCCTGCGCAAAAAAAAAAAAAAAAGATGCTGGTCCTTGTTTATCACACCTTACACATTGTGGAGGCCTGACTTTATATTGCATTTTCAAGAGTTTTTTGTGGTTTGTACACCCTTTTTTGCCCACCCATACTAACTTTTTTAAACATGCATTTCGGTGATCACTCTACCCCCTTGACTTGACTTATCTACAGAAACATCTAAATAGTAGACGTCAAGGCACAAAAGTGGGATTCAGTAGGGGCTTCGTTCCACTACCCTCGACTTAAAAAAGCTAAAAAAAAAAAAAAAGACCCAAGTTCGATTCCGGTCCTTGTTTAAGGCCGGTCACCTCACAACGTCAACCCAGCCTTGAATCGTTCGTCGACTGCATCCTCATTTGGCTGCATCGGGGGAAGACCATTCAGCTCAGAAGGCACAAAAGTGAGATTCAGTAGGGGGCTCGTTCCACGACCCTCGACTTGAAAAAACTAAAACACCCGAGAGCCCCCCAAAAAACACTCAACCCTCCACCCGAAAAGGAAACGTGGTCACCGCCCATCACAACCCCGACGAACCTGATGAACCGACCAATTGCCCAAAGCCAAGTCAAGTTCAGGCTTCAGTCGTTGATTCAGGCTTCAGTCGTCGAGGAAACAAGACCCCTTTTCTCGATCTCGATTTCGACCCCCCCCCAAAAAAGCCCAGAGTCGACTCGTCGACGACCAAATCGAACGACCCGCTTGCCTTTCGAGCCCCCCAAAAAAAAGCCCAAAGTCGATTCGTCGACGACCAAATCAAACGACCAGCTTGCCTTCGACCCCAAGAAAAGAGCTGAACCTACCCCTTTTCGACCCCCCAAAACGACTACAAAAGACATGAACCTACTGCTTTTTCAATTCGACCCCCCCCCAAAAAAAAGCCAGAGTTGACTCGTAGACGACCAAAAAGATATTAACCGGCATCCCTTTGAACCCGGTTGCCTGGCAGTGGTGACGTTCAAGCTTGAAATGTCGTGAACTAACGAACGAAAACCACCAAAGGCATTAAGAAATTTTAAATTAAATTAAAATTAAAAAAATAATAAGAAGAAGAAATTAAAATGAATTAAAATTAAAATAAAAAAAAGAAAAGACCTCAAGCCCCCAAGAAAAAAAGACCTCAAGCCCCCCCCCCCCCCCCCCCCAAAAAAAAAAAAAAAAAAAACCCCGAGAAAAAAAATCAGGAATGACGAAGAAAAAAAAAGGGGAAAAATAAAAGAATTTGAAGCGGTGCTGTAAAATGACACAAACGACGGTCAATCAAGAAAGACAGGACAAGAAGGAAAAAAAGGAGGAAAAATAAAAGAAATGAACCCACTTGCCTGGCAGCGATCAAATTCATTGAAACAAATTCATTCATTCATTCACACTTGTTTTATGAACGAATAGAACGACCAAAGCCATAAAAAAAAAAAAAAAAAAAACACAGTCCAGAAAAAAACACCCGACATCCCCCCAAAAAACATTCAACCGTCCACCCGAAAAGGAAACGTGGTCGCCGCCCATCACAAGCCCGACGAACCTGATGAATCAACCAATTGCCCAAAGCCTGTGACGACCACTCGCACTACCGGTCCGTCTCCTAGCCGCGACCGCACCCTTCCCACCCCCCCCTAAAGCCCCAAAACACCCCCCCGAACCTCGATCAAAGTCCACGACATTTCCCGAACAGGAAAGAAAACCTTGCAACCCAGGTAAGTGCAGCCTTTGACTGCGAACATGTTACACGGGTTTTTAGGGGTGTGCGGGGGGTAGGGCACCACCCCTGGGGTGCCCCCAGCCTACAGCAGTACACATAAGTTGACATGTTACATGGGTTTTTAGGGGTGTGCGGCGGGTAGGGCACTACCCTTGGGGTGCCCCCAGCCTACAGCAGTACACATAAGCTGACATGTTACACGGGTTTTTAGGGCACTACCCCTGGGGTGCCTTAGGGGGGTGTCTTGAGGGGCAGTACGAGGGGAGGGGGCACACTCTGCGAAAACATCACCACGTAGGGTGGTGGGTCTTCAGGGGGTGTCAGGGTGGTGGGGCACAATCACTTCAGGTGCCTTACGGGGCCGTGTTTTGAGGGGTAGTATGAGGGGAGGGAGCATCGCTCTGTGAAAGCATCACCATGGAAGGCGGTGAGTGCCCTTGTTCATTTGTTTGTTTTCCCCTAACTCCTGGTGGGCACCCATTTTAGGGGGTGATATGAGCATCCCCCTAAAGTGGGACCCAAACATGGAGGCTCCTGAGCATCCTTGTAGGGAGCGAGTGCAGCATCGGGGCATGGTCTACCTTGAATTACAAGGAGGCCGGTGGGGTTTTGTGGGGTTCAGTGGGCACTGCAGGGCGGCAAATTTGATCGGTCTTTCTTTTATCCCTTTAAACCACTTTACACCTTTTATCTGATCATCTCCTAGGTTTAGGTGCCTCTTCCACCTCTCCCTTACCACAGTCCTGACATCCACTTTGGGTTTTATCATCCTATAAGTGCTCTTTACCGTCGGGCCAGAGAGTTATACCTTGGGCCCTGTTCGGCTTCTCACCCATTGCCATTCTAGCGGGTTCAGGGCCAGGGTGAATAAGGGTACTTCCAGGCGATAGGCTTGCCATTCCGTTCTTCCTCCCTTGTGTGCCTACAGTACTCGTATACGATATAGGTTGGCATTCTCAAGTCATTGGACTGAGTCTGGGTGGTACCTTACCAACCTGTCGTCCTCCTTTCTTTCGAACAGGTTCACCATGGCTCCTTCAGTTCTCACCTCCACGACACACCCTATTTGTAGGGGCGAGTCCTCCAACTTGGCAGCCACCCAGTCTTGTTCCTACAGTCTTGGTCCTTTCCTTAGAATCGTTACCCAAACCAAGGGAATGAAGAATATCAATTGTTCCAGCCTGATTGCTAAATTGTGGGCGTGACGCAGATAGGGTCTCAATTGTTGAGCGGATTTCCAATCCTTGGTCACCTTGTCCCATATATCCCCTACACGGAGGACCCCATTCCTAACCCACATGGTCCATTGGGGGTCTGAGCTGCTAAATACCCGACCTAGCCGGTCGGGAATGACTCTGTTCCCAAATAAGGGCTGTCGCAGAACTTCTTACATCCGTTCTTGGGGGGGCGGTCTAGGAGTGGTAACCTTCTCCAATCCTTGATTAAGTTGACCCATAATTTGTCCTTTGTTAGGTCTTGTTTAACTGCTCATCTAACTCCTTCCTCTCGCGAGTGTGAATTTGCCCTGGGGATTGACCAGTAACGATCCTCAATCCAGGTCAGTGGGTCTATCCCCGAGGTTGTTCTAGGGGCCAGCCTACAGATTTGTTCCTTGGCAAGGTTCTCCCAAGGGGGAGCCTACAGTAACCCTTGAGCAGTTCCTTGAGCCATTGGATTGCCAAAGTTGTTGCCTGCAGAGAAAGATCCAACAGCCTTACCCCGCCCCTCGTTTTAGGCTGGATCAGCGTATGCCATGCCACTTGACTTATCACGTGTTGTAGGTCTGAGTCCCCCTCTCCAGAGGAAAGCCGCTAGTTGTTTCTTGAGGGCTTAAGTTCGTTTCTTGCTCAGATGCCAAAGGACTGACTTGCACCAGATTGCAGCCAATATTTCATTATTAATGATCAGTGCCCTCCTAAAAATGGATGTGTTTTTGTTTTTTCATTTTTGCATTTTTTCTAGCGTTGTTCTAGTTATCCATTCATCACTATTTTTCGGTGGTCCCTACACAGAGAGTGTCACATGCAATACGCGAATATGTTCCTCCAGGGGTCTCCAGTCTACCTTGGGCTGTTTCAGGGGGCGGACCTCATGGTAATGGATCCATCAGGGCCAGGATTTCTGCCATATTGTCTGGGTGACCTCTGTTACTATTGTTAGATCGTCAACAAACATCGAATAAACAGGTAACGATTCCTTCGGGATGCCTGTCAGACAAAGGCGAGAGAATTTTTTTTTTGTTTTCAGGTTTGCCCCTAGAGCTTCCATTACGATGAAAATCTATAGTATCTCCAAAACAAAGTAAGGCATCGAACCCAATCTTATCCATCAGACAGTACCCTAACCTTAATGTGATGTGTATGACGTGTATGATCTGGAAGTCAAAATCAACTTCCCTATACAATGACGCGTTGAAATGTCATAGAAAAACTTATCTATCAGACCAGGAGACGAATCCCTAATGTGTGAGCTGGAAATCATACCCAACTTCCTATATGTTTATCAATCCCTATATGACATCAAGCCTAATCCTAGCAATTAGACCAAGCACCAAACCCTACCCCTGATGTGATCTGTGTGCATGATGTGTGCAAGATGTGTGCAAGATGTGTGCAAGATGTGTGCAAGATGTGTGCATGATATGTATGATATGTTAGATGGGTCCAACTTCCTTGTACCGTGGTGTGTTGTGTGTCATCTGAAATTCACATCCAGTGTCCCTATACAGTGTCGTGTATCTATGCCATGTCACAAGAGGGGAAAACCTTATTCACCTAATTAGTCGTGTCTCCACAGCAAACCACAACAAACCTCAGTAAACCTCATCCCAACAATCAAATGAAACACCAGACCCTACCCCTGATGTGGTCTATGTTCATGATGTCATAGTGCAGTGTATAGTCGTGCCTCACCCACAATCCAATCTGCGCTAAATCGTAGCACAACCTATATCTCCAAAAAGGGCAGAGGCATTGATTACTTATCTACACAAGAGAAGGATTGACCTACTGCCCTTGAGGCATCATCCAACCGAAAGAATATCAAGATGCGCCGAATCAAGGAGTCTACCAACATTGAAACGCTAAGCACATACCCCTTCCTACTAAAGAGTTGATCACCTCTAATTTTCGCGAGGAAGATGACCTATCCCACTCCAGCCCGGTCAAAAGGAGACAAATCATGCAGAAAATCGGGCAGGGGGGGAGGGGGGCGGGGGGGCAGCAATAAATCTCACCATCAAACCCTCACCCCACCTTGCCATCCAAAGCATACCGCCAATTCCCCCCCGCTGCACTGTTGCAGATGTTGTACTTGTCTTCATGTTCGCAGTTGTCATTGTAACAATCCTTGTTTATGCCCACGTTGTTGTTGTTGTTATTGTATCTATCGCAATTATTGTTGTTGATGCTGTTGTTGCCATTGCAATTGTTCTCGGTATTGTTGTTGTTGATTTTGTTGATATCGGTATTGTGGACACTTCACTTGCGTCTGTTTCTTTGGTTGACATCATCACATCTACCGTCGTTGCCATCAACCCCAGTTCCACGTCTCTCTCGCCTGTCTCATCAAGCTGAAGAGCATGAGAGTTTTCATCAACCGCGGTCACTGTTATTGTTGTTGTTGTTGTTACCGTTGTTGTTGTTATTATTCACCACCGCTGGTACCAGTGACATTAGCTCCAAATCCAACTCCCCGTCTCCTACCTCCCACCCTCCAGGTTGGTCTTCGATATCCTGATGCCGATGTAAGTCACTGTGAGCATCGACACTCTCATCATCAACCATCACGTCAACCCACCATCCACTATCCCCCCCCGTATGCTCAGCTTTGCCCCGCCGTGGCACGACAACTTCCCAACTCCTCTCACTTTCGATTTCGCAATCCTCGCAAACTGCACAAATATTGGCATAGTAGTTGACCACGTCATCCTTATCTTGCCCACCATCGTCTTCATGCCAGACGTCATCATCAGTGTCTAAGTAGTTATCTCCATGTTGTAGCTCCCCAACCAGCTTCATTGTTGACCCAGATAGTTGCGCCTCTATTCGTTTCCTCATCAATGTCACGACTAATTGTAAGAGTAAAAAAAAATTGCCCTGCAGTATGCAGAGGGTACATGGAGAAGGTGAGTGAATATTTCTTTCTCGTATTTCTTTCTTTTGCAACAGAAAAATGAAAACAAAACAGAAAAGAAATCAACGAGCATTCACTGCCCCTTCCCGCCCCCTTTCTCCCTGCAATTTGGTGTGCCCTTAATGCAAAAGAGAAAACCATGGATGTTGCCTGCTACGAACGAAAATGACATGCTTCCTTTGTGTCCAAAAATTGATTCAATGCAACGCCCGTTGAATCCGCGTTGAATCCGCGTTGAATCCCCGTTGAAAAGCTCGTTAGACGGGTTACAACGGGACCCGCGATGATTTTTCTCGCGAGCTAAAAATAAATAAAAAATATAGGGTTATAGATTTTTTTTTGGCTTTACAACCTCATATTTTTATTTTTATTAGCTTTTACTATAGTTTTAAAAAATAAAAAACATAAAGACGATGAAAAAAAAAAACAGATGCAATGAGTTTTTTTTTTTTTTTTTACACAGAGATATTTTTAGGGCTAAAAGAAATAAAACAGAAAAACAAGCTAAAAATATAAGGTTATAGACATTTCAAAGATGTACAACAATTTTTTATTATTATTTTTTTAACTTCATGTATTAAAAAAAGATTGTAAAAGCATATAAAAAAAAGAAAAACAGACACGCACCTACACATAGAGACACACAACACACACAAACACATATAAACACACACACACATGCACACACACACACACATGCCAACAATCATACGCACACACACACATACACAAACACATGCACATATATACATATTCATGCACAGACACACTCTCACACACAGGCACACACATACACACATGCGCGCATACACAACATACCGGGGGCGAGGTCCCACTAGCAACGGGATAGGATAGAAACGAGTTTGTGGGGCAGTTGAGTGACCCAAATCCTGCCATGAAGTACTAGTGATCCCACGGTCAGGATTTTACTTATTACCCGAAAAAGTAAGGAGATCTTTGTTCCCCTCTATCTCTCGTTAACACTGGGCATGCCCGTACAAAGAAAGTTTCCCACAAGAATGTTTTCAATCGGGGGTGCGGCCAACCCCAAACGAGGGTGGGGTCGGCCTTCGGCCCACGAATAGAAGATTTTCAGTATTTTGCTTGTTGTTGTGCAATTATCTCATTGGGTGGAGCCCTCCTTCAATCACGGATTCCGAGTATATGGAGGGTGTGAAGATCAGTGCTGACGAAAGTCAAGTTTATTCTAGAAAATGTGGCGGTTACTTTGTTCACTGTTGTTGCAACCACCACCATCAGATCATTTGTCATTTGATGCCTGGGAAGCACTCTGGCGTGATTTCTGGTGGGAGGTCTCTTTTTTTTTGCCTTTTTTATGTTTTCTCAGCCCATAAATTCGTAATGAACCTGTCAGGTCGCTGCCACTCATTGTCACACTGGATCGGCCACACTGATATCCGACTGCTAATGGGACCTCGCCCCTGCACGCACATAACTGGGGCCTTGGGGGTTGGGGGATGTGGGGCCGGATAGCTTAGAGGGTTTTCGAGTAGGTTTGGGGACTGGTGTCGGAGGGTTGGTGAGTGGCGGGTGGCAGGTCGGTCGGTGTTGGTCTAATTCGGTGGTATAAGCGGTGCTTCGGGGGGTGGGGAAATATAATTTTTTTTTTAGGGTTTTTTTTTTTTTTTTTTTTTTTTTTTTTGCCTAGGGCCACGTGTTCCGGATCCCGCGCGTCAATTCCGTTTTTCCGAAAAGCGTGGGAGCGGCCCATTTTCGCGTTTAACGAGAATTCAACGGGATTTTTTCAAATTCAACGGGATTCAACAGGAGTTTAATTCTTCCGTTCCCCGTTAAAAAGACATACAACCTGCATCTTATGAATTTTGAAACACAAAAATGGCCCCATATTATGTGCTTCATTAGGCCGCACAACATTACCCGAAACAGAAAACCTCAATTGGGTAAGGTGTAGCCTCCTGACTGCAAATAGTGAAAGCGATGTGCCTCAGAGGCAAGGTCCCACTAGCACGAACTAAGCGGAGAAACGTACATGTGGTTTAATAAACAATTGCAGGGAAGTTGTCTGCACCACATGCGTAAGAGCCTATACGGGATCAAAGGTCCTATGATGGTTCTGAACCGTTCGTGAGGAGCAAAATTTGCTGGGAATTGGCCCCAGCGTCCCTTTACTTTTTTTTTTTTTTTTTTTTTTTTTTTAAAGAAAGACTCAGTGGAACCTAATAGGTTGGGTGATACGAGCATCCCAACCTACTAGAGTCTATACA